GACTAATCACCAGAAAGATCAAACACATGATTAGATGGCTGTTACTTTGGGTCAGTCCAACCTCTGAGGAAAAAAGTGAGGTTGGAAATTGAGTTCAATTGATTTAATAAATCATGCCTTTGTAACGCCATCCCAATAAAATCCTTGGTCACAAAGGCTCAAAGGAGCTTCCTGGTTGTTGAACACCTTGATTTGCTGGGAGGGTGACATGCCTAGATTCCACAAGGAGAGGGCATTGAAGCTTCGTGCCCCTTATAATAAAACCTTATAGAAAGTATATTGCTTTTGGGGAATTCTGTTAGTTGTTCTAGTGAATTATCCAACTTGAAGGGGTTGTAGCAACCCCTGAATTTATAGCTGGTCAGTCAGAAGTGTGGGTGGCCCCTGATACCAGTAACTGGTATCTGAAGTGGTGGCAGTCTTGTGGACTTTACCCTTTCCATGTGGGGTCTGTGCTAACTCTAGGTAGTATCAGAAATGAACTGCATTTGGGGAGGAAATGGAACATACTACTTTTGGGTTGTAACATCTCTTTTTATTTCCTACATGATTTAAAAGACTAATATAGATTAATTTTAAATCTACATTATTTTGCTACCAATGTATAAAGATGAGGACAAGTCCATGCAAATGAACACTATTACTATAGGATGTTTGTCCCACACAACCGATGAGTGAGACTAGAGTATGTGGAATACTTCTTTGTTTAGATCAGGGACACCTAAGTGTATGCCTTTTTCTTATCCTCTTGGCTTATCCATTTATCCCACTTATGGCAAATAAAGGTGTTTGCCCAAAAAAGAATTTCAAGGAAAGCATACATATGTTTCTCTTTGAGGTCTAGAGCACAGAGCTGGTCTGGTTGGCCCCACCTACACATTCTCAGAGTATAGCTGTTCCCAAGCTGGAGTTGTAACAAAGAGACTTCCGGAAAAATAATGGAATGCTGGCGACATCATTTTGTTTAGAGTTATTTATGTTCCAACAAATGCTTTTGCCTGAGACTCATCCTTAGCATTACTCCTGCAGGGGAAGAAGGTAATACAATGAAGGCATCAGAAAGCAAAGAAGCCAGCCACAGGTGGTATTTAACCTCATTTAACATGGGACCCAGTGGAAGCAGAGAGAATATGTATGACCTGCACTACTGGATCACATGCTTTGTTTTCATCTATTACTGAACTAATTAGCACTGGGGAATGGGGCACCCCTTATTGTCATTATTTAACTTGACTCATATGCCTCCAATATTTTTATTAAGTTTTCATTAAAATAGAGCAAAGAACATGAATAGATTCTTCTCAAAAGATACACAAGCAGCCAACAGATACATGAAAAAATGCTCAGTCTCACTAATCATCAGATAAATGCAAATCAAAACCACCATAAGAAATTATCTAACTCCAGTAAGGATAACCTTCATCAATACATCAAAAAACAATAGATGCTGGTGAGGGTGCAGAGAAAAGGGAATGCTTCTCCACTGTTGGTGGGAGTGCAGACTAGTTCAACCTTTATGGAAAGCAGTGTGGCGATTTTTAAAATAACTAAAAGTTGACCTTCCATATCATCTAGCAATGCCTCTTCTGAGAATATACCCAGAGGAACATACATTTTTGTACAAAAAAGACACCTGCACACACATGTTTATGGCTGCACTATTCACAATAGCAAAAACACGGAGCCAATCCCACTCCCCATTAAAAGTGGATTGGATAAAGACAATGTGATATGAATACATGAAGGAATATTTATGCAGCCATAAAGAACAACAAAATCGTGAACTTTACAGCAAACTGGATGGAGCTGGAGACCATCATAGTTAGTGATCTATTACAGAAACAAAGAAATGAATACTGCATGTTCCCACTCATAAGTGGGCCATTAGCTGAAGAGAGGGAGTGGCAGTCACTGGACACTGCCAAGGGAAGAAGAGGGGGTCATGTAACAGCATGAAGGTACCTGGTCCTAAACCAGGGGAAGTGAGGGTCACTTGGAGCCCCAGACTTCACCTGAATGCAGCCTGCTTGTGTAGTTAATCCTCACTTGTACCCCACATCTCTATAATAAAATAAAAGTTATTAAAAAAAAAAGTAGAGCAAGCATACATATAAGTTCCAGTTTTCTGTGGCATAACAATGCTATGGACAATTTCTATAGGCAAAGAGAGAATTCTTTGTTTATTGAAAGCAAAGACAATTCTCATTGTGAGACATGTCCTTCAAAGGTGTTCGGTGACACAGGCAGCCTCAGAACTAAATCAGAAACTCTCCAATCCAAGTGTTCCTTATTCATCCACCATTCACCCATCTACTCTAAATATTTACAACAGGGAGCCTGGAAAAGATACAATAACATAACAAAGCAAATAAAAATTGTCATCCATGATCCCACAATTTAGATAGTTAATCTTTTGGTGTATATTTTTCTGGGTTTTTTTTAATGCATAGTCATTCAAATATTTACAAACTTCTAAATTTTTTTATGATCTTATTTATTTGCTTGCCATATCTAAATATCTTGCATCAATATGATCATTTTAATGACTTCCTAGTATTCCATCCTAGCATGTCACGCCATAAATAATTTGTGTTCCTACATAAATGCCCACTTAGGCTATTTCTAATTTTTTACTATTTTAGATAAGGCTACATGAACATCCTTGAATATGTGTCTTTGGGGTTTCAAATGAGAGGGAGGTTCCATCATAGCAGCCTCCCAGAAGGGCAGATTCCCTGGTCCCAAGGTGCCCCAGAGAACTTCTTTCTGGGATTCTCAGAAGCCTACATGCTCTGCTGGCGTGAGGAATCTGAGACATTATCAGCTTCTCCTCAACCTAATTGACCATATTCCAAGTGCAGATTTCCCCTTTTGGGGTCACTGGACCCATGGAGTCCTCTTCCTTGTACCATGGAGATAGGTCCTTTTTGAAGCAAAAGCTTCTTTAACTTAATACTTAAATCCAGTTACTTCTAGTGTCCCTGGTATATATTTAGGGGCTTCAATGTTACCTGAGCGGCAAACCAACTGAGCTTTTGTCATGACATGTCCTTAGATTTTGGTATCTTTATTTGCTATATACAGGAATCTCCAAAAGTCAAGAGTAGATTATTGAACCTGGTTTCACCAGTACCTCAGAAGCTCCTCAGAATTTGTCTCTTTTGAAAGATCGCCACAGCCTAACACCTCAAAGTATGGTCTTTAGACCAGTATCAACATCACATAAAAATTTGAAATACAGATCTCAGGCCTCACCCCAGATTTATTAAATAAAAAATTTACAATTCAAGAAGCACTGCATTATTCTAACTCAAGGAACACCTCTGGCTTGTCATTCTACACTCTGAGGACCCAACTGAGTCTACTCCTGAAAGGATAAGATGAAAGCTGGACTCTAGGTCAGTACTTCTCAAAATTTAATGTGCACATGAATCGCCTGGGGATCTTGATAAAATGCAGGTTCTGATTCAGTAGATTTCAGTTGGAGCTTGAGTCTGAATTTGTAAATTAGCTCCCAAGTGATGCTAATTCTGTTGACCCCTGGACCATATTTTGAGCAGCAAAGGAATAGCATTTCTTAAAATTTGTCAGACTGTATCACCTAAGACACTTATTAAAAATACTGTGCAGAATTCCCTGACTGTATTCTAGGTTTGCTAAATTAGAATTATCAACTCCTTGGGTGACTTTTGTAATTCAATAAATTTGAGGAATGGTAACATAGGGAAATCAGAGCTAAATGTGACCCCTAGGAGACGAAGGGATGAGTAGTAATTGAGGTAGAGCTGAAAGAGACATGGACAGGAAGTGATGGATGTGGCCTTGTCTCTCATGTTCAAAGGAAAAGTGGAATGAGTGTTTTTCCTCTGTGATCATGTCATGTCAGAATTTGCACTTGTAATTGATGGAGAGTTTCTTAATTTCTCTCTCTAGTTCCTCTTGAGAATTTATAGCATTCTCATGGACTGTTAGTACAGACTTTCAGCACCATTCCAAGCCAAATGTACCCAAAATGCCATGATTGAGGTATAGAGAGAGACTCGCAGGCTCTGCTATTGGTTTGGTAAAGAAGTCAGTAATGTGGACAAGCAAAATACACAACCCCTCTGTTACATGGGAATCACAAAGGTTCTTAGAGAAGAAATGAGAGTGCTAAGAGTAATTATCACTGTAGACTCTCTCTTTTTTGAAATATGTGCATGCAAGATTTATGTATTTATGTATGTATTTATTTTAAACAGCTTTATTGAGTATAGTTGATATACAATAAACAGTACCTATTTAATGTATACAATTTGATGAGTTTGGACATATGCAAACACCCATGAAACCATCACCACAATCAAGGCAATACAAAAAGCCATCACCTCCAAAAGTTTTGTGTCCCTTTTTGCTTTTTGTGGTAGGAATACTTAACATGTAGACTCTTGACACTCTCCTTGGAACTCTTAATTTGATTCCAGTTGCTACCACATTGACCTCCTGGGCATGCTGATCCTCCTTTCTTTAGCACTAGTTAAACAACAACAATAACAAAACAAAAAAACAAACCAAATACCACTAATTCATTTATTTAGTCATTCAACAAAAAACTGTTGGGCGCTTAATATTTGCCAAGTACCTAGCTAGATGCTACAAATTCGAGGAATTGAGCACAGTCACATGAAGTGCTAACAACAGTGTCTGATATAAAGTAAACACTAAATGTGCTAGCTGTTACTATTTCAGACTCACTCCCATATCGATTACAATAAGAGTTTCCATGAACAGCAAACTATCATCTCTATCAGATACTCATAGACATAATAAAACAGCAGAATGGTAAAAACAATGTGTCCCCCAAGGCACAGAAAGGTGATCTATTTTGTCTCAGTGACTCAATATTCCATCAATGGATTCTGCTTCACACTGGAAGTACTGACCTGTCTTCTTCCAACAGACTGTCTCCATGTTGCTTTAGGAAACATTGGTTGAAGCAAAAGAATAAAACATCTGAGATATAGTGTTTTTAAAAACATTTTTAATGAAGAAATAATTCCATTCCAAAATATAGACACACAATTAAATAGTTTAATCACTTCAAAATATAACATGTCCCCAGGATGTTCACACACACACGCGCACACACATACAAAACAGTACTTAACAGCAATACAAAAAAATCCATACAGTAGTAGTTTTGTTATGATACCAATGAATATTGTGAAATCTTTAGTGTCTCTGGATTGGTTATTTCAAATGATGTCAAATTGCAGTAGTCATAATTAAAAACCGCTTACAATTAATTAGCCTCAACATGTAACGTTTCTGATTTTTTTTTTCTCTTTTTGGTTCAGAAGTAAAAATACCCTTTCTTCTGAGGACACTGGAGTTCTTGTTTGTGGTTCCTTGGGTGGAATCAAACCAAGATGAAATCAGCAACCAAAGGCTGCCGAATTTACAAGATCTATCTACAGTTAACAGCCAAGAACTAATAAGAGTGGACAAAGATGATCAAAATAAAAGCAGACATCAGTGCTAAATTATGATGCAACAGTTTGGCTCATGCATATAAGAAAATACATAGTATATCACAACAAAGGCCACACACTCTTAATGCAATTCAGTTCACATTACTACTTACAAATGAACCTTCCCTGCCTTATAGTAGATCATTCAAGAATCCATTTTTCACAATCTCCAGCACATCTCCCTCTGACCAACCAAACTTACCCCGACTTCCGCCCTGACCAACCACAACTGATTCCTGAACACCATGCAGTAGATTTCACCTTCCTCTCCTCCTCCATTAACATGATGCTGTGGGGGAGGGTTGGCTGTGTTAGACCAGTGCTCATGAATAGGCCATCAGCTCTGATGGAGACGGATATGCAATTCATTGTGGAACAAGAAACAAATGACCCCCACAAGATGTAGTTGTAACTAATAGGACAAGTGAAACCTGCTGGGTTTGTATTTAGAACAGGCCCCAGAAGTAAATCTGAAGAGCCAAGGAAAGAAACCCACCAAAGAACACACAAACCCAAAATAACACACGCCATTTTGTCTCGGTTACACGACAGGGGTGCTTGAGTCTGGTCTCAGTGCTGACGTGGAGCTAAGAGAAAGAAAAGGTGGCTGGTTAGTCAGAAATTGGTCACTGGCGGCAGTTTCCAGAGTCCTTGCAATGGCTTTGTACGATGGTATCAACAACCATGTGATGGAGTTGGTTGGCAATGAAAGCTATGACAAGGGGGAAGGTTATCAGCAGAACAGTTTAAACCTTAGACGAACAAAGAGACAAGAATATGCCAGCTCGGTCCAGTCAGTGGCTGAGTGCCAGGGCTCTGAGTTCAAGAACTACCTGGCTATGATTTCGAGCTGATAGCAATGTAGGTAGCTGGGATGTAGTGGTTTTCAGTATTGAGTATGAGGCACCAGTGGCCACCTGCTCCATCTAGAGGTATGGTTTCACAGAGGATGGGCGGTGGGAAAGAGATGAACATTAAGACACACCAACAAAACCCGCAATAAAATCCATCTGTGCAAAGAAATCTGAGAACTGTGCAGTTGTGCCACTTTGGTGTCAGCCTGTGCTCAGGGACATTTGTCAGGCAGGTTCTCTGAAGGGATGTATGATTAAATACGCCTAGGGATGGAACCCTCACTAATGCCAATCAAGCACTTCACTATCCCCAAGGTTTTGTTTCAAAGGGCAGCCAAGGAGATGGTTTCTGACTAAATGCAGACATCTTACAGCCCTCTGCAGAGGGAGCTTGAAGATGTCAGGACTCAGCTGGGGACCCACCAACTACAGACTAGGTGTGAGGTGTGTAGGGATGGGAGAAGGTTGTTGCCAGCTCCCAAAGCAAAATTGAATCACAGAACCTTTCTTGCTTATTCTGAATAAGGCCTTTCAGAGACTTTATTATACAACTTTATTCTAAAGCAATAGCATCAGAATCACCTAGAGGGCTGATTAAAACTCAGATTGCTGGGCCCAACCTCCCAGAGTTTCTGATTCAGTAGGCCTGGGTTAAGGTCTAAGAATTTACATTTCTAAGACCTTCCTAGGCAATGCTGATGCTGCTGGTTTGGGAACACACTTTGAGAACGATTGTTCTAAAATGATGTTCTTTCCTTTAAAGAAGAAGAAGGAATTCCAGAGAAGCTGATAATTTAAATATGATGGTTCCAATATGCCACAGGCTTTTTTTTTTTTTTTTAATGAAATCTTGAAATAACTAGATTACTCCATTTCCCCCAGAATCCCTAAAGGAGGTCTTTGGGGACCTCATAAAGGACCATCAACAGTCATTATCCTCTTTTGCATCTGAACTCTTCATGTTCAAGTGCAAAATCCCAAGTCTTCTTTCACTTGACCACAGAAAGGCTGCATGCAGAACACCTGGTGGCCAGCTAAGGCAATACACATTCAGAAATAAAAGGAGAGTGAATGTTTGCAAGCGCACTTTAAGCCTGTACATTTAAAGCTGAAGGCCTCTAAACAACCTGATAGGGGAACTTGTGAATGAGCGGTGCTGTTAAAGACATGCTTCCTAGAGTCAAAACGAGAGGAACAAGACCATGGAAGAGCATAGATAACTTTAGTCCGTTTGGGGATCTTATGGCACCTGTGGTTTATAAACAGCTTTAGTAACGAGTATTTCAAAACATAGTTCACAGTTTTTAAGAAGATCTGTGCTGTTTTTAAAAACTAGATTCTATATAATTTGAATGCTGCCTTTTTTGAATATGATCTCTATTTGGAAAACATATTTACACTAAATTCTATGGCTGATTCATTAGAGTATCTTGAAAGAAAACAACCCTAAGTTGGAAAGAAGCCCCAAGGAAGGAATTATTCCTGGTGTGTTTGGTCCAAGTCACTGCTCACAGAGACTTGGAGTCAACTGCAGACTGTGCAGGCCAAGCACTGTTCTTGGCTCCCTGGCTCCAAGTCTGTACACTCAGGAACCAAAATCCTTCAGGGTTAGTGAATAATTGCAAGTGGTTGTTTTTTTCCAATGACTGTGGAAAAAAAAAATGTACAGTGTATAATCAACTGTTTTGCTAAAATCTCAAAGAATCCAGAAATCAAACTTCTAGCTATAAACAGTATTAATATTGTCAAATTGTCATTGTAAACTGAACAGGTTCAATATCATGTGCAAAGGTTTAAAATGCTTGTTAATACTGCCATCGTGTGTAACAGCAGCATGAGTTTTCAGCCTGTGTTTGTTTTTGTTAACCAGGGATGAGTCATGTTACAGAAGATGTAACTGATAAGTTAGCTTTGAACAGAAGTCTTTTTTTTTTTCCTTCTCAAACACACACCTATGAACTACAAATCTTAGAACACAAAGTTAGCTGCACTATAGTCATCAGAACACATCTGTAGGGGCGGGGGTTTGTCGGGAGCTGCTGGGTGTGGTGGTTCCTCTGTCCGGTGAGGCTGCTGCCAGGCTGCTGTCATCCTCCTCTGTGTGGCTCTCCATCATCACCAGCTTTCATGTAACTTTCATCATCTGTCTGACTATAGCTTGCCTGGGAATAAGGAATGTGTCATTTTTTTTTTAAGAGGAAAATTGATTCTTGAAAGAATTAGGATTATGAAGCTTAGGGTCCCCCACCATTCCCTAACATGCACACGCACACATGCACACACACACATACTCTTCCTATGAAAATCAGCAATGAATGCCCTGGGACAATGTGTGAGACTGCACCTTCTAGAAGGGAGGGCAGGAAGTCCTCCTTGTTGAGTCTCTTTCTTAATGGGTATTGGAGGCATTTGGAGGGTTAAAGTAACACAAACAGACATATGTGTACTGTCCTCAGGACAAGGGGATAAGACTACGGAGACACCATTAGATTGCCATGTTGATTCTCTTAAAAAATCAACTTTTGATGGTACAGTACCCCAATTTCTGAAGTTAGGATGTGACTGGCCACGGAGAGTGGTGTACCATGGGTACAGAGGATTAAAAAGGGACAGATGCAAGATGTGAGCATGTACCATTATATATACTGTTTGTTCAAAAGTGGCTAGCTTGAAAGAAAACAACCTCAAGTTGGAAAAATGCCCCAGAGAATGGGTCATTCCTCTTCACTCTTTAGTACCGTGTGCTAATAAGTGTACATTTATGTTCAAATAGGCCTAAAGCTCTTTGAGCAGAAGATGAGTCCTCTGTGTCTCTGGAGTTCACCTTCTGTCCATTCCCCAGGTAGAGGGCTCTGCCTTGGTGGATGACTAATTGACATCAAGCCAATGAATCTGGCTTTAGGACTCTCAGATAAGATGTGCATATACTTTGGGATCATTTCTAGTCTTGCATTACAGACAGAAAGTCCAAACAGAATATATTTTAATAACATAAGCCTCTCTCAAATGTCAACTGTATTTCTTGGCTACATTCAGAAAAATTACAGTAAGCAAGAACTAGCCATAAGATGAAAAGCCAGTAGCTTCTGCAGTGTTCCAGGTGTTTTAAATACATTTTGCCTATGTGGCTGATTTGGTGACAGGTTGGTTCATGTTTAGAGCTCTGCGGAATTCCAGCTAGGTAGGGTACAGACTGTGGTAAGTGGCAGAGGCCACAACTGTGTAATTTTTCACTGCCAAATTTGCAACCAAAGAGTTTAAAAAATGGCCTAAGAACTTCCAGAGTACTGACATTTTTGGCTTTTAGATATAAGAACAAAATGTCACTTTTTAATCTGGGTTTCTATCAAAGCCATTTTATTAAGCTTTTCAAAAAATATTTTTCTAAGAACTAGCTACTGATGTTTGAATAATGTACAGAACAAAAATGGTCAAATTACTGGAGCTAAGAGAAAGAAAATGCTTTTAAAGGAAAAGGCTTGCTCCTTTGGGACTAGGCTTGTTATAACTGGAGTGGATATTTTCAGAAACAGCTCCTGGGAATTTTTCCACTCTAGCTGTAATGAATCAGGAGAGCATAGACTGTAGCACTCTCACATCCAAGGGAGCTGGAATAGAGTGCGGTCGATAAGACCCTTCCTCACCATTCCTAAAGTATGTATCATCCTAACAACTATGCCATGATTACTACTTGCTTAGTCTTACCCTAAGAACTGAGACAGGACATGAGCAGTGTTTGAGCTAGCTTGCATTCTTTACTAATTGATATTTCATTTAAGAGATGCATATTCCTTTTTTAAAATAAGCAGCCAGCATTAATAGAGTTTACTGCTTGCCACACTATAGACCAATGGGATTTCATGGTAGGAAAGACTGTTTTTTTTGTTTTGTTTTGTTTTTAGAGATGAGGTCTATGTTGCCCACGCTGGCCTCGAATTCTTGGGCTCAAGCAATCATCCTGCCTCAGCCTTCCAAAATGCTGGGATCACAGGCATGAGCCACAGGCCAGGCACGGAAAGGCTGGTCTAATTCACGTAAATGTAAGCCTTTGGGCCAGTGCAGTTAGACTCCTGTGAGAGGCATTTTAACTTTGAACTATAAGAGGCATCTAAATGACCTTTAGCTTGAGCCAGAGAAACCACTTAAACATATAAAATAAGCCAGGTTCGGTGGCTCAGCCTGTAATCCCGTGCCTTTGGGAGGCTGAGGTGAGTGGATTGCCTGAGCCTGCGGGTTCAAGACCCGCCTGGGCAGCAAGACCTCATCTCTACAATAAATCAAAAAAATCAGCCGGGCATGGTAGCGCATGCCTGTAATTCTGGCTACTTGGAAGGCTGAAGTGGAAGGATCACCGGAGCCCAGCGGGTCGAGGCTGTGGTGGCCGGGAGTGGCCACTGCACTCCAGTCTGGGCGACAGAGTGAGACTCCAACTCAAAAAAAAAACCAAAAAAAACCCCATATAAAATAGTGTAACCAAAGGCATGTCAACTCACTGTACATAGCTGATTCCTTGCCTTGTTTATAAACATGGGGAGATAGCAAGCAAGTTCTGAGTCCCAGAGTTTCCTATTCACTTCCATAAACACTATAGCTACTCCCAGGCATTGGGTTGCTGTAAAAGCACTAAGCACAGGGGCAGGCATATATGTGTATGTTCATAATAAATGATAGTCTTCCACTAAGACAAGCTCTTTAGAAAACTATATCCTGGGGGGTGGGGGCACAACTCCTCTGTGAGGCAAGTATTATGCTATATGTTATGCCGGAGAAACTGAGGCAAATATGGTTTAATAATTTGCCTGATGTTTCACTGCTAGGATTTGGAGACACCCATATTTAAAGTCAGGCCTATTAGAGTGCAGACCACCACACTCAAGTGATTGTGCCAGTCAAATGCTGTGCCCTTTACATTAAAAAATGACTGAAGACTCTTCGGGCATTTAGGTAGATCCTGGAATGGGTTCACATGCCTTAAACATGATATTGTAAATTGGTTTCTCTCCTGCTGAATTTTACAACGGATTTGAATCATCAGTTGTTCCAAAAAGATTAGGCTGCAGAGTTTTTCTGCTGTTTTGATTCTTTTGCTTTCTCTAACATTACATGATTTTGTTTTCACTTGTTAAGGTACATGCATTTGAGTTTTTGGGCCCTAAGTATTAATTGTGATAGAAATGCTGGTCCATCTCTAGAGCTGCTGAATTTTCCCTCTAAAGCACTAGGGAGGTTACAAACACTGAAGCCGTTAGGGAATGGTGATGTGACTATATGCACTGCATAGCCACAGGGGATTATTAGGGTATCTCTGGGGTTGCAGAGGTTCCTGTGCCAATTTTCCTAATTAATCGAGTAAAAAGTCAGCTCTGAAGATGTCTGACAAATCTCCATTGGATTATGATGAAACACTCTATAGACTGAAATGATTCTTTGATATCAGCAGGGAAGGAGGACATTCTATCACATAAAAAGAAACAGCTAAGAGGAAGTGATTGTGAATTAAGGTTATAAGTTATCAGAATTAGGTGTACAGTGGCCACATTTCCTCCTAAATAAGAAGGTACTTACTTGAGAGGAGAGTGATAAAAGGATATTGCATTCAACCTTGCAAGCTGACCTGTGGGTGACAAAGGACACAAACAAGAAAGGTGACATGTCAAGTCTGTGATGCAGTCAAGCCGGTGAATTACTTGGCTGGAAGCCATGCACAAGGACAGAGTGAGAGAGAGAGAGAGAGAGAGAGAGAGTCCAGTGAATGAAAGTAGCATTCCAATCTATCCAACAACCATATGGGTTCACAGAGCATTCAAGGAAAACTACTTCAATGTTTTCCAAGGAATACATATGTCTTGAGTGGGGACACACAGACTTGTTATATCCTCCTAGCCTCTTCCCTGCCCTTTCCTTTGAAGTCATAAGGCATGGAAAAGAAAGGAAAAAGAGAAGAAGCTTAAGAGTCACCAGAAAAACACCAACAGGATTTTAAGTGATTATCAGAAATTCCCTTCATTTTACTCATATAAGATTAAATTCATAATTCATTAAAATAGCTAAAAATCTAATGTTTTATATGGAATGGTGAAAGGCTGACTCCTTTAATTAAAAAAAAATAGAAAAAAAAACTCTAGAATTTTTTAGGTACAATTGCCACCAAAATCCAGAAAATGATATGAGCGCTAAGATGGAGGCCTAACGGGCGCCTCTAATCGTATGAACCAGAACATTGGTTGTTTAGCATCATTTCTGTCTCCTTGTATGCAGCAGAGTCAAATGAGTTATGTGTAGGAATGCCAGCCCTCAGAGTTCCCAGACAAGCCCTGGTAATTTCATTTCAGGCTCATTTTCTTCTGTGGATGAGCCATAGAAGACACAAAGAAGGAATGCTCACCAGGGGTTTGCATCCTGAAGATTTTGCTTCTGTAGGTTGGAAGCATAGCTCTATGTACATGGTCACTCCCCGCCCCCCCCATCTTTTCTTTGGTTTAGTTGCTTCTGAAATGTGGTCATTAAACTGGAAAGGCTAATGGAACATTCCAAAGAGGCAAAGCTTTTGGTTTTCTATCTTTTGGGTGGAGTTGGTGGGCTTCCTCTCCCTCTTGATACATTCTTCTTGGAAAAATATTTCAAGGCTTCATCTATAAACATACGAGAAGTAGGAGCTAATGTATTCTCTCTGCTTCTCTTTTCTTCACTATGAGAGTAAGAGAGTAAGAGAGCCATAAAAATGTACAGAAAGGTTGGGCATGGAGACTCATGACTATAATCCTAGCACTTTGAAAAGCTGAGGCAGGAGGATCACCTGAAGCTGGGTGTTCAAGACCAGCCTGGGCAACAGAGATCCCATCTGTACAACTTAAAAAAAAAATTAGCTGGGCATGGTGGCACATGCCTGAAGTCCCAGCTACTTTGGAGGATGAGGTGGGAGGATCACTTGAGCCTAGGAGTTTGAGGCTACAGTGAGATATGATTGCATCACTGCACTTCAGTCTGGGCAACAGAGAGAGAGACCCTGTCCCCACTCCCCCCCAAAAAGTGTGGAATAAGCTTGTCTGGCCACTGAACAGAAAGTCCAACAAGATAAAATAATCCTCAGGGCTGTGGGAGATAGTTGGTCTCAGTCAAACAAACATCCCTGAACTCCCAGAACCCCAATTTAACACCTGCGGATTGAAGGGGAAAGAAACATACCAGGAAAACAGATAAGGCAGTAGAACAATCTCCCTGTGGAAGAGGCATTGCCTTTAGGATGAGTTGCTAATTTCACTTATTCCCAATTGCATATGTTAGGTTCACTGAATTCTCAGATGGTTTAATCTACTCCAGTACATCTGAAAGTCTACCCTTCCACACCTCATTAAACACGGGTCTGAAGTTCCCCCAACACATTATCGTGAGGTTTGCCACTCTCCTACTCACATTTGGCAGGAAATGGGCAACTAGGGAGGCTGAGGACAGATATAGATAATTCAAGGGAAGAGGTGCATTTAGCTTATTCACTTTCCTTGTGCCCTGTTCTTTGAATCCATGTGCGTTAAATGTATATGAGATAAAGCATCTTTTTTTTTTTTTTTTTTTTTTACTTGAGGTCTCATTCTGTCGCCCAGGTTGGAGTGCAGTGGGATGATCATGGCTCACTACAGCCTCAACTTCCCAGGTTCAGGCAGTCCCTCAGCCTCAGTCTCCCCAAGTAGCTGGGACAACAGGCATGTGCTACTATATCCAGTGTGAGTCACCATGTACAGTCTAAAGCATCTTTCTTAATGGTTCCGAAAGAGTTTGGACTGTTAGTTACCATGTATTTGCCAATATAGCAAGGACTCTTTTCATTTTCTAGACCAAAATTTATAAGAATATGTGGTGAGCTCTAGTAGGAGTATTTAATTTATTTATTTATACGTGGACTAAGGAGTGCCATCAGAATATTCTGGGAAGGAAGGGCGGGAGGAAGGAGAAGGCACTGTTTTTGCAAGTCGTGTAAAAGACCCAGCTCCGAAGGGGCTGGAGCAGGAGTCGGGGCCTGGGGTGGGCCTGGTCCCTGTACCTGATAGGCCTCATCCTGCAGTTTCTGTTTCAGGTATTCCTCCATCTTGAGCTCGTTCTCCAGCTGCCGGACAGAGTCATTCTCATAGTTTTCGTCCTCGGGCCGTACGTAGGGATCCCCCTCTTCTGTCACCCTGGGGATAAACCACAGATGGCATTTTAGAGCAAACTGTAAAAGAGAGGAGCAAGTGGAATTCACATGTGAGCTGTGGTTTTGTTGGCAAATTTATTTCCCCCTACTCCTCCAAGTCACTTTTGTGTCTTCTTTTACCTAAAGAAAAACTTAAAAATATTTAGGAGGTTTGGAGAAAGATAGGATCAAGGTATTTTCATACACACATTTTCTTTATGGTACTCTGGTGATCATTGGTCACCTATGCTTTTCTAGGGACTACAGGAATGGGTCGGCTCTTTAAATGTTCTACAGTCTTAAGAAAACAAAAAGGCAGACTTATCTTTTGAGGGAATATAAAGTTTTCTCAATCTGAAGATTTTTTCTTTAATGGAACACTTTCTTGAATGGAACCCAAGAACACTTTCTGTAAGGAGAGTGAGCCCTCTAGTGAAATAATGCTTAAGAACATTGTTCATAATTTAACTCTCTTTGTGTAACACACACACACACACACACACACACACACACACACACACACACACACACACTCACTCATGGGTAATTTAATAGTAGAATCAAGTCTCAGAATATCAGCTAGTTGATGCCAGGATGGCTGATACTCTAACCCATGACTCTAAACCTTTAAAATGTATACTGGTTCTGAATCTAAAAAAAAAATCATTTAAATGGTTCATTTCTAATATGAAATAAATAGATAAGAACGACCTCATTCACAAATGTGGGACTCCATCTCCATCCCACATGGAGCTGAACATACAAGTTCACGACTTAAATCATATAACTAAAAATTCTCAGGGTAAAACACAGTTTCACAGTTTAGACAGTACAGATATTGAAATAGTCCCTAAAATGAAAAGTGCGGTCAAGGAGAAGTTTCTGGGCTGGCACTTAAATGTCATTGTTCTTGTTTATTTATTTCTGTACGACATGTTCTTGTTATTTTTGGAGGTTTGGGGTCAACCAAAATGGGTCTGTCTAGGCCTCTTTGAACTTTTCCTCCTGAACACTGAGTCACATGTTGGTGGCTGGTACTGCTACTCAGCACACCAGGGAGAGCAAATTGGGGTGGCTTTAATAGTCTTGGATTTTTAGACATGGAAGGAACAAAGAAGTTTTAGGTAATCACCATGAAAATGCTTAATAACAAAAATTCAGAGCAGGTGTGGTGGCTCATACCTGTAATCCCACTACTTTGTCATACTGAGATGAGAGGATTTGTTTAAGCCCAGGAGTTAGAGACCAGCCTAGGCAATATAGTGAGACCTCATCTCTACAAAAATCAAAGAATTAGCCAGGCACAGTGGCACATTGTCTCAGGTACTCGGGAGGATGAGGCTGAAGGATCACCTGAGCCCAGGAGGTAGAGACTTTGGTGAGCCATTTTCTTACCACTGTACTCCAGCCTGGGTGACAGAGTGAGAGCCCAACTCAAAAACAAAACACAAAACCAAAAATAGATATGCATTTGCCAGGCAAAACAGATGACAATTAATTCACCATTCTGAATAACAAACAACTCCAACAATTCTAAATTATAGAGGAAAGGAAAAGAAAGCAAACGATAATGAAAAGCAGCAGCATACTGTCATTTTAACTTATGTGACCAGAGCTTTGCTTTGATCTTATACTCTGGGGCTTCATGGCTCTCAGACCACTTCTCTTGATCATTCTCCATGATCACCGATCTCTTATTTACTCTGTGTATTGAGAGCCAAAATATCAGAAAGACCTCTGGTTAGTTTCTTCTTTGGGTCTTTAAAACAGCCAGTTTATTTTTATAGACTAGTCTGAAGTACTTTCACATTAAGCAACGACATCACACTTCTGCGGTTGTTTTGGTGTTCAGCAATCCCTTTCCTGGTCTCTGGGTTGGCCTCTGCCCACGTTTCTGTCACTCCGTGAGCCTCCTTCTCCTAATGGCCCAGTTTCTTGACTTCCTTTGTTTTAGCCTCTTCCCTCCCAAGCTGAGTTCTGCAGCTCCATCCTGTCTCTGGCTTTGTTTCTCAGCTGATTACTTTGAGCTGACCCAAGGTCACAGAAAATTCAGTGGGGATGTCACAGATGCTGCTGGCTTCGAGCGGGCTACGGGAACTTAACTGGGTGAAAACCTTGGCAAATGAAGCTTTCAGGGGTCAGATTTACATACATCCAACAAGTCAACCAATTTGGATTTCTTTATAATGATATTTTACACATTTACTTATTTCCATTCCATGTTCTTTGTATAATAGTCCTCACACCATTTCTGAACAGAGACTTCACTAGCATCACGGTGTTCCCTAAGTGCAAATATAGCAAATTCAGAATATAGAATGGTGTAACTCCAGACAAGTCTGTGAGTCCTGGAGGAACAGTTATTCCATATTATTTGTGTTTAGCACTAGCAGAGCACCTTGGGAGCACCCTGGGAGATTTCAATATGCACTGGCTGGTTTAGGTTATTGACACTCTGGAAATTGTAAAAGGGAAAAAAATCAAAATGTCACATTTAAAGATAGCACCTCTACATCTTCGGGTAGGAAAAAAAAACTATCATCCCTTTCCCAAATAAAAAACTAGGACAGACACGGTGCTGTAACATGCCTGTAATCCCAGCCCTTTGGGAGGCTGAGTTGGGAGGATCGCTTGAGCCCAGGAGTTCGAGACCAGCCTGGGCAGCACAATGTGACCTTATCTCTACAAAAAAGTTAAAACAATAAGCCAGATGTGGTGGCATATGCCTGTATTCCCAACCAATCAGGAGGTAAGGCTGAAGGATCACCTGGGTCTAGAAGGTCAAGGCTGTGGTGGGCTATGTTTGTGCCACTGCCCTCTAGTCGGGGCAACAGAGTGAGACCCCCACTCAAACAAAACAAAACAAAAACAGAAAACAAGACAAAGTAAAAACTACAGTGCTGTTTGATTTTCTTATTCCTCTGTACAGATTGTTCTGTTTCCTAGAAAATGCATCCAAGCGGAAGATACTTACATGTCACTGCGCATGGTACTTGTGGTAGCTCCACTGTGAATGTAGCCAGGTTTTCGGGCATGAATTTGTGCTAGAAAAGCCTTTTCAGAGGTTGGTGATGGGACAAGGTCCTCAAACTGAGACCGTGCAAATTCAGAATCCACATTACTCTCCGTTTCACTTCCTACCTCTAGGTGCAATTGAAGAAATAGAGAATGACTTATTAGATTTTTTTTTATGACCTGCAAAAAAAGGACTAGGCTTAACATAAATCAACCTGTGCTGCATAAAACATTAACCAGTTATTTTACATTAGTCAAATACATGTTTATCTTTTCAAAATAAGAATGGACATTGATACAAATTACTATACAAATATTTGGTATACAGCATTCTCTTTTTTAACTCAGAAATTTTATGAAGAATTTTTGTGTCTTAGTAACTGACTTAGTAACTGACTTAACTTCTTTTTCCCCCTCTAGAAAAGTCTTCATTAAAATTGTTACTTTTACTCAATATTGTTATGAATAATTTTTGTGTCTTAGTAACGGACTTAATTTCTTTCTCCCCCTCTATAAAAGTCTTCATTAAAGTTGTTACTTTTGCTTAATATTGCTCTAATTTAGGAAACATGAACCTAAAATATTATAATCAATATTACTAATATTTCAAATAATTATAAGAATATAAACTAATAGTTTATATTCCTTCAACAATATTCCTTCAATAAGAATAACTTTTTAGTTGTCTTTTGTTAGGGCAGTGGGTACATGATATCATGATGTATTAAATAATGTTATTTATTCTATTTTGTGATTTTAATCTAAAATAGCAGCAACAATTTTCAATTACTTTATTCTTATTAGAGAGGCTTCAAGGAATTAAAGTCTAGGAATTTTTTTTTAATACTAAAGTTTTATTTCTTACAATGGTTGTAATCTCAACAATAAGACCACAGTCTCGCCAGACAAATATCTTGCTAGGTATGATTTAAGAAATATATGGAGATGTATTAGTAACTGGTAAGATGTTTATTTGCATATTCATGATGCTAAATGTTTTTATTTTTTTTTCTTTTTGAGTTGGGATCTCACTCTGTTGCCCAGGTTGGAGTACAGGCACAATTACACCTCACTGCAGCCTTGACCTCCTGGGCTCAAGTAATCCTCCTGTCTCAACCTCCCAAAGTACAGGGATGACAGGTGTGAACCATCACGTCTGGCCTCTGCTGCTGAAGTTTTTAAAACTCTTTGTAGTATTAGAAGGATAAAGAGTTTCCTCCAATTTTTTATTACTTATTTTCTGGGCAGATCTTTTCCGAGATATCACAAAGGTAGATTTCAGTTTGGCCTCATTCAAATGATCAAGGATTCCAAATTAACGGAGTCTATACAGATAAAGGACACATTTGACCATATAAAATAACTTTAGCATCATGTTGTTTTAGATTGCCATATATACTAACAGTGGCTATCTTTGGATCCTAGAATTATAAGCTAATTTTAACATTTTTCTTTATTCTTTTCTGCATTTTCAAACTTTCTTCATTGAATATCTACTAAGAGTCTTCCTTTTTTTTTGAGTTGGAGTCTAACTATGTCACCCAGACTGGAGTGCAGTGGCTGCTCCCGGCCACCGCAGCCTCGACCTGCTGGGCTCTGGAGATCCTTCGCCTCAGCCCTCCAAGTAGCTGGAACTACAGGCGCATGCTACCACACCCGGCTAATTTTTTTTTTTTATTTATTGTAGAGATGAGGTCTCGCCAAGTTGCCCAGGCGAGTCTCAAACCTGTGGGCTCAGGCAATTCACTCACCTCAGCCTCCCAAAGGCATGGGATTACAGGCTTTTACTAAGAGTCTTCTAATAAGCAAAATATAAACATTACTCACAAAGTCTGAATATACCAACAACATAAAGATCTTTAAAAAATATTTTTTGTATTTGACAATGAGTAGATTTCTAAGAGAGACTCCCAGCACTTACAGATCCCTCCATGATGGCAGACAAATGAGAGGGAATCAGGGACTCACCAGAATTCAGCTCCTTCACAAGAGAGGACATGGTGTTAGTGATGGAATCTGCTGCCACTAGCAAATCATTCCTTAGATTTCTTCTTGAACCTTCAGTGAAGAAATAATTTTAAAAATCAAATTTCCCCCAATTCCCCACATTCTACGTTATTTGTTTATCCTTTCCATTGATAACCTAAAACAAAAAAACATCTAAGGCTTCTCCTTTTCAGAAGTGCTTTGGTTCATTTCCAAAAACAACAAAAAAAAATCAAAACAAAAAAACACCTAAGGCAGTGGCCCCTGATGTAAGAAGACATGGCTAATGACATAATTATTTGTTCAAACTGGGTCAATTTTGAAAGTGAAAGACAGCAGTATTACTAGACTGGGTGACCTGACACAAACTAGGATGGTCCCGGTAAAACAGCATAATGTGGTCACCTTTTGTAAGAATAATCCAAACAGATGAAAAGTCTGGTTTTACCAGGAGAAATAGCTGCTGTTATTACTCTAGCCATTATCTGGGGGCTGAGTACACTGGATTCTGTTCTCTATCAGGACAGGCTCTGTCTCCTCTCAGGGCTACCAGAGCTCTTCCTACCAGGATAGCTACCTCTTGGGAAGGAGAAACCACTCCAGAGTGTGAGAAAGGAGTGAAGATTCTTCCTTCTGCCAAGACATAGGCAAATGTATGTCGGCCATAGTGAACTGGAGCTTAGACTATGTTTCTTTATGACTGAGAAAAATTATTATTTTGTTTCAGGCATACTAAGGGTTAAATGGAGACTAGTGAGCTGACCTGGGAGTGGGGAAGGTATACAGAGCTAATCACCATAATATCTTTGGATGAAGAGGTTCAAGATTCCAAATACCTGACTTAAAAGTGAGCTTAGGTAGCATGAACACTTCATGAGCTAAGGGCTGCCTATAGGCCACATTTTGTTCTATAATTTCTCATAAAACAATACTAAATAAGTAAAATAACAAATACATTTAAATTAAAAAATCAGAGTAGTTAGGTAAAAACAATTATAATAGAAAGTGTGCATTGATTTAAAATACTGCAAATTTCTTCAAAATATGATTTAGGGAAAGGACACTTTCTAAGAATTACAAAAGATTATTTTGTGAATTGTATTTTTAAAAACTCTTGAGTTATATTCAATGCTTTGAAGAAAAAAAATCCCAATATGGATCCTTCCTTTTCCCTCATAGTGGAATATGGAATCCATCATTCTCTCCTATTAAAATGTATTAAGATTTTATCCCCTACACATGGATGAAAATGTTTGTTTCCTCACACTCTTGCTATTTCTGGATATTATTAATGTGAAAAAACTTTTGCTAGGCAAAAGGTGATAATTATTAAATTTTTCATTTCTGCAATTATTGTGAGATTGAACATCTCTCTATATATTGACAATTTCTATTTGTTCTTATGTATGTTCATATCTTTCACCTGTTTTTGTTTAGGGGTTGTCTTTTTCTTATTGCTATCTTCAGATTTTATTGCTGAAATTATGAAACTTGATTGCCACACATGATGGAAATGGCTTCCTCACATCTGTTTTTTGTCTTTGTTTATGTTTCTCTTTGCCTTAAAACTTGTAGTCAAATATGCCTCCCTTTTTCTTAGATCTCTAAGTGAGAACCTCAAAAGATGTTCACAATATATCATTAATTTATAGTAAGTGAAAATTGCGGACTGAAATGCAATGCATGATCCTATTTGTGTAAAAAAACAGAGTCAGTGTCTATAAACATACACGTAAACATATCTATTTATATATAAGCAAAATGTGGGAAGGACCATACAGTTAATAGCACTGGGAATGAGGTTGGCTGGGTGAGGGTCTACAGGAGAATTTTTTTTCTTACTCTATAAATTTAAAAAGTGATAGTAAGAACAAGTTTTTAAAAGTGTTAGAAAAACAGTTCCAAATGAATAAAGTTACCTAACTTTCCCTGCCCTCCCCCTCAGGCAGTGTGTAAGTGAAGGCAGCTGTGGAAAGTCCTGGCCGTCAACTCCGAACCTCTTCTGCTCCTCTGCTTACCACGGACGCCTAACCTTATAGCCCCACATTACAGAGGCAACAATTCAATTTTGTGGGGGCACCAGAACAGGGAATCTGCATGACCTTCGCGGCCACCTCAGAGCTACAGAGCTGGGTTTATTTAATAGCAGTCTTGATTTTGCTTTAATATAAAAAGACAGCAGGAAATAATCAGATCTCTCAGAACTTTAAAATTGAATATAAAGTTTCCTGAGATATTGGTGAAAAGATTTCCTGTCTTAGATGAACAAAGTCTTACTAAAAAGTAGGGGAAGGCCACAGAAGCCAAAGGAAAGTAAAAATGGTAAAGTGAGGGAAAAAAGCAGTGTTGGGAGTTCTTAAAATGCTGGCCAGCCAGGCTCTGACATAAGCCATGGGAAACCCTTGAATATTCACGCATGATTCTGATGACTCTCCACCACTCAGTAGACCTTGGTGACCTATTTGCCACATATAAGCACACTACAACAAAAGGTAAAGCCACTTACTTTGTGCAAACGCCTCTTGGACATCTCCCCCTACCCCGGTGAGGGAGTCCTGTGGTGTGTGCGTCGGGGTGGAGCAGGTTGACGCGGACCGGATGGGCATGGGGATAGGCCTGCTGATGGTGTGGCTGGGGGAAGAGCGGGGAGAGCCTGCCCCCTGAGTCTGGAGAGACAATGCAAGTCATTAATTTGCTTTCCCAAGAAAATGTCCTATGTCATCCCCACTGCCTCAGTCAAAAGTTAAACACAGTGACAATGAAATTTCAAAGCAGGAGGAAATCTTGGGCAATTGAGATGGTAAGCCTAAACCTGACTTGCAGGTGCAGATGATTTAGGAAAATCTGAAGTTTGGGTTAAACATTGAATGCTAAGAATATTAGTAACAGCCTAGTTCTACAAGATCTAAGACATGTGCCCACATAATGAAGGTTTTGTTACATACAGATAGTTTACAAGGTGTGTATACTTTTTCCTTGAGAGAAGTATATCATAGAATAAAAAGACATTAAGGAAAAAGTTTCAATAAAAACTAAAAGACTATTTGGGATGGATAATTCCTAAATTTTCAATATGTCTGTCCTGGTATTATCTTTAGAGGATAATTCACAGCTTAAATCATGTCATACAATATTGTGCATAGTAAGTCTTAAATTAAGATCAAATGAGGTATAAATTAAGATCATATGAGGTGTCAATTTCATCTCCATTTGACAGTAAACACTGATTCTGTAATACTCTGTGACTCGAGGATTCCAATGGGAAAGAGGAAAAAGAAATCTCGTTTTCTAATTTTTTGCTATTGTTTCCTGCAGGAAATGTCCTTCTCTTGTGCTCTGAAAAAGCAGTATTCTAGCAGGACAATAAAAATAGAAGGACTTTAAAAGAAGTAAAGAAAGAAGTAGAAAATAACTAAAAGGCACTTATCTCTGCACTACAGTTTTTAGCATGAAGCTATTCTGAGACTGTCACACCTTGAATTTTAAGACTTTGTCTCCAAATGTGTTGTTTGGAAACATTCTCCCTGTCTTAATAATTAGTTGATGAAAGAAATCAGTCACATGTGTAAGAAAAAGCAAGGAGATTGTTGAGTGCATATATGACAGATTAGGTGTTCACATCAGCGCCATCCCACTGTGTTGGGTCTGGTTGTTAGAGTAAGAATTCCCCATCAAGGCCCAGAGATTCATGGACAACCTGCTCAAACTCTGTCAGAGCAGTGCTCTGGAATATTCTATTTAGAACTTTGCTTTGAGCTCAGTGGTTTGCAGTTAAAATACACAACATCAATCCTCAAAAATGCCATGCTGTTAGCTCTCCAGGTCTCAGCATCACACACAGTCGTCAAAGCCACAAATTGAGAAAAACCCAGAATTAAAAACAAAGCAAAACAGAGCACATAAAATAACTTGTGGGGTGCCCAGTGGGCTAGGGATCCCATTCTTTCACTCTCAACAGTACCTTGGAATGGTCTGTCCAGGACCAAGGAAAAGAACTCTGCTCAACTTCGATGCTCTCAGCTTTGCTTCCCTCACCTGCTCAAGGAGGGGTTGGTTTTCCCCAGCATGGTTTGGAGGTCAGCTCCATTACCCTGAAACCTATCACCGCATCCCTCAGTTTCCCATACCCATAATAAATTATTTCACCTCTGTGCTGTACTTTATGATGTTCAAAGGGTATTTGTATACATTCTTACTGATTCTTATCCATGACTCTATGCTAAATGTGCAGTTGTGGATTCCTGAGCTCTGAAATGTGGAAAGAACAACTCAATCAGGAGAGGGAGCCAGCTATGGTAGCTATGGTTGGCAAAGGGTCTGTCAAAGCAGAGATCCCAAAACCCCAGGGAAGAAGACTGGTACAGGTCTGTGGCCTGTTCAGAACCTGGCCACACAGCAGGAGTGAGCAGAGCTCCATATTCTGTCAGATCAGTGGTGGCATTAGATTCTCATAGGAACCCAAACCCTGTTGTGAACTGCGCATGCCAGGGATTTAGGTTGGGCGCTCCTTGTGAGAATCTAATGCCTGATGACTCAACCTCCCTCCCCTATCGGTGGAAAAATTGTCTTCCTCAAAACAGGTCCCTGATGACAAAAAGTTTGGGGACTGCTGCCTTAAAGGAGACAGATATCAGTCAGATGCCCTGAGGTCTGCTTACCCTTGACAATTACTTCTGTACATCCTTCTTAAGGCAGGCAGGGCCTTCAGCAAAACTGCTTGCCCTTTTTTCTCTGGCCTTTTTACTAAGGGACCTGTCACAGGAAGTGGGGACTGGAAACAGGAAGTCAGACAGAGTGAATGTAAGAAGTCAGTTTCTCTTGGCTACCCTCTCAACCCTGGGAACTCAGATCCTCTTCCATGGCAGGAAGCTCACAATAATAATACAACTCTACTTTTGCATGTAACTTACAGTGCATAAAGCACTTTTACATATGTTGTTTTGTTGCAATGCAGTGGTAGAAATAGTAATATCCCAGATTTAAATAGCAATTTGCAGTTTATAAAGCACTTTAAACCCCAATACTTCACTTAATCCTCCTAACAACCATAAGAGTATTATTATTTCCATTTTACATATCAGCAAACTGAGGTTCAGAAGAGGTAACAAGGTATTAGAGAGCTAGTAAATGGTAGAGACAAAATGGGTTCCCAGTCTTCGGACTCCAACCCCGGGGCTTGACCACAGTGCTTCTCAGGGTTGTGCATGCTGTGACCAGCCATCACATGCCTCTGCCTACCCTTCACTAGCGTAGAAAGGTTCAGCAGCCAAAAGACTGAACAGGCGCAGGGCATAGGCTCACCACCTTGTAGTACTGGAGCGGAGTCCTAGGGTCTCCTGCTAGGCCAAGCACTACTCTTTAGGCGTTGGGGCCTGGGAAAGATGTGCTTTGGGTGGCTGCAGGGCCTTTGGGCTATTTATCAACTGGTACAGAAGTACGAGTCCACAGTCTCTCATCTGTAATTTTGAAATCCAAACAGCTCTGACAAACACATGTCATTTCGTAATGAGTTTGGTCCTCACGAATGTGAGGCTATTGGTAGGTATCTGCATCCTACTGCCTTTCAAAAACCTGCAAAATCTCACCATCACACAATATACCCATGTAACAAACCTGCACATGTACCCTTAGAATCTAAAATTTAACAAAATAATAAAATGAACCACAAAAAAAATTAAACAAAAATGTAAAAATAAATCCTGAAAAATTTGGAATTCTGGAACATATCTGAACTCAGTGACTTTAGATATGGGACTAAACATTTCACTAATTTTTTTTTTTTTTTTTTTAAGTTGGAGTCTCACTCTGTCGCCCAGAATGGAGTGCAGTGGCTGCTCCCGGTCACCGCAGCCTCGACCTGCTGGGCTCCGGCGATCCTTCCGCCTCAGCCTTCTGAGTAGCCAGAATTACAGGCGCGCGCTACCACGCCTGGCTGATTTTTTTTTTTTTTTAAATTTATTGTAGAGATGAGGTCTCACTGCCCCGGCGGGTCTCGAACCCGCGGGCTCAGTCAATCCACTCACCTCTCCCTCCCAAAGGCACGGGATTACAGGCTGAGCCACCGAGCCCGGCTAATATTTCACTAATTTAATAGCTATACTGGGCTGTGGTGCACACTAGCTCTGTTTGCACCTCTTGTATCAGGTTCTGTAGGACAGGGTGCTTTTGGGGCTCCTTCCCTTTGGGCAGTGTTTGTACAGAGAAGCATATATCTGACCCTTCCGCCTTCCTTTCTGTGAGCCTCTCCCCCTTGCACACTGAGCTATCCTGCTAACGTGTGTTTGTCTGAGGCACCCCCAACCTTATCTCTCCCTGCTCAGTCTCCAATCCCCACAGGCAACTTTTCCTACTCCTTTCTGTCTGCTTCCTTTTTTTACAACTCCCAGTAGTGGTTCTGTGTTAAAAGAAAAGTAATTGACTGTAGTTATGTGTTAAGGGGAAAACAGTTGACTGTTTCTAAATTACACCAATATGTGAATGACTAATAGCCACCACCTCCCAGAGGAGACTCTAATTGGTGCAATTTCAAGGAGTTTGATGATGTGAAGAATTTAGGTGGAAGATTCTGCTGAACAAAAGATTCAGCTGCATCTTTTCTGCAACTTGCAACTCCCAAGTCACGCCCAATCTTTACCCAGACTTTTGGGTATAGGACGCTGACTCCCTTGGTGATCGTGGCCCCATTTTTCTTTCTTAGGATCGTGTCCAGTTGAATGCATAATATGTTCCTAGTGCCTACTGTGAAAAATGTGATCTCTAGCCTTCCTTTCTGTTCATTTCTTGTAGGGCCACTAGGAAAAGGCAGTTGCCTTTTGGCATTGGGGCATATCAGTAATAACATTCCTGTGTTTCATTTGTGTAGGTGGTGGGTCCTGTGGAATGTTGGCCTCTAGCCTGATAATGATGCATAGTTGTCTGCTAACAACTTCAGAAGCATCAGAGTGAATAATCTTTGTGAACATCCTTTCCTGGAAATTACTCAGTGATTAATGGAGCAAAGTCTTAAGGGACAATGGTCCATACAGATCAATATATAGATCTAAAATTCCCAAGAAGAGAGTTGATTTATGGAAGAAGGAAAACATATATCACATTTGGCAAATTTAAAATAGCTCTCTTTCTAGAGAATAAATGAAAAATTAATTTCTACATGCCATCCTTTGATACCACTCAACCTTCTATTGTATCAATTTTTAAAATCTCTGACAAGATCCATATATTTTCTGATATTTTCCAGGAAGTATTTTGGTTTCTACTCAGCACCACAAATGAAGGATGCTTCGAGGAAAGGAGCAAATGCCTAACTGTTGAACCAGCATACCCTGGAGAAACCATGACAGGGCATTATATAGCTCCCCCCAACCCCCACCTGACCTAAAGAGTGTGTCTTTCAGGTTTGACTGAGAATGCAGCCTAGTCATGCCTAGTTATAACCAGCAGTCAGGGAAGGTATAGCAAAGCAGTGTTGAGCCACATTCAACCTTCTTTTCATCCTTTCTTCTGATATTCATTCTCTGACTCTCATCACACTGATGATCAATTTTATAATTGGACTTGCTAAAGAGGTTGTTGTATATAGAGTGTTGTGAGGAAACTGAGGAGGTGATTAATTCTGACTGGCAGGCAGGAGGCATCATTCGACTTGGGCTTTAAAAATGGAGATTTC